TACCATGATAGAAAATATTTAAATATTTGTCTGGGGGGAGCCCTGTCGGCTCCCCGGAGCTATCCAGGCTGAATGGACATGTATAACTTTCTAGCATCAGTCAATGTGCATGGAGTTCTTGCCTACCTGGGACCATGAATCAGAACCTGCCCCCCCCCCCTCAGAGAGGTGCAAGGAGCAATAGCCTATAGAAACCCCCATGTGGTTGGGAGCATTCTATGTCTGCCATCAACTGGGTCTGACACCCAGAAAGGTAGGCATCCCAAAACAAACCCCTATTCTGGTGAAACTATTGCTACCGAAAGCTGAACGAGTGGACAGAACTTCCCAAGTGAAAATTAGCAAACTAGCATAATATCATCACATTACCATGCTGCTGTCTGGGTAACCCCTCCCCCCCCCCGGGAGGGAGAAGGTAGAGCTCCAAACCCCCGTGCCAGTGATCCAACTACCAGTTCTTAGCTGATGCGATTCTGGAGTAGACGTGTGCCTCTGGCTCTTGTTTTTTGTCTCAGTAATGTGTCTTGTGGTGTGGGCTGTCTCTACAGGTGGTGTGTGAGACAGGAAAAATGTTCCACGGTTTTCAGGCAGCATGCGCCTGAAAACCTTCCCTTGGTGCCAAGTAAGTACTGCACTTGGGGCGTGGGGCCTCCTTCCACAAGTCACCTTGGGATCTACCTCTGCTGTGTCTTTTACTGCTCGGTACTTGGCTGCCCTTGGGGTCAGCTGGGGTTTTGTTGCCCTTGTTTGTCTCTAGGTAGGCAGTAATTTTTGTGACTGGTTACCTGGCGCCAGGTACTGCATAGCTAGTTATCACCTATTATAGCAGCCGGCTTTGTTCCGCCTTAGTACATTGTCCTCTTGCAGGATTTTTCTTTTGTTTTTGTTGTTCCTGCCTGGTGGGGGGTATGTCTACCTTGTCCTCCCCCCTCTCTGTTATTAGGGTTGGTATAGGTTCTGTGAATTTGTGGTATCCCCTGCTAGGCCCTCTTAAGTGGACATGTCCCAAGGGTTCAGCTTTTAGAAGTTGGTTTGGTAGACTTTGGTGCTGGTTCGCAGTACCCTGCCTGGGCTTCCTTTAGTGTGTTAAGAAGGCTAAGGGACAGTTTTTTGCTTCTCAACTCACATGTCAGCAGGCGGTGCTTGCTTCTTCTTTGGAATCCACTTGGGTCCTGGCTCTTCGGTTATCTTCGCCTTTTTGTCCTCTGTTGTTTGCAGTGTCGGCTGTGGTGCACTGTCTACAGGCGACTAGTTGCCGTCCAATGTCCAACTTGTTGGTTCTCTAGGGGGCTCATGGGGCAACCTGTCCTCTTAAAAATAATGTCACTTTTGGTCATTTACCAGTATGGCCAAAAGTGGATGTAATTTCAAAATGAAAAAAAAAGAAAAGAATTTTTTTTTTTCCAACAACAGTAAGTTAAGGGTCCTCTGATAGGTTAGGTGGGGAGGAAATTCTCATAAAGTTTCAAAACGTTATGAAAAATGTTATTTGAAAGTTTCCTCTCCTAACCTTACCGAGTAAGGCAGACGACTCAAACAGAAAAGGGACAGTACGTCACTTTTGTGAGTTGATTTAATTTCAAATTACATTCAAATTTGGCCATAGCGCGCATACGAGCAAAAAGCGACGTTATTTTTAAGAGGACGGGTTGCAGGGGAGGCCTTCCCAGAAAGGATGTGCCAGGGCTCGGGGTTCTTCCCATCGTGGTAGGCCAGTGAGGCCAGATTCGGGGCAGGCACAGCCTCCGATTCCATCTTTTTCTATTCGGCGTGGCGATTGTCCTGTGTGCCGCTTAGTTTCTCGTATGGTCCATAGGCTCTTTTGCGGTTCGTCCCATTGACGGGGCGATGGGGAGGAGGCTCGCTCTGTTTGCTCGCACCTGGTCCCACGATTTGTGGGTTTTTTGGGTAGTTTCGTGCAGCCTGCGGTGGCATTGGGTGGCTCCTCCTCCTTCGAGGGGTTCAGGGCTGGTGGGGCAGGCCTCTTCTGCGCTTTGTCAAGTCGTCTCGGAGTGGGTTCGCTTGGGCGTGGTCGAAACGACCTCGTTCCTCAAGTGAGTTTCTTGTCGGTTTCTGGTCCCAAAACAGTACTGCGTGAACCTCCGGTTCATTCTTGACTTGTCCCGTCTGAACCCATTGGTTTATTGCCCCTCCTTTCGGATGATTACTGTCCCCAGGTCCGTCTTCTGTTGAAGCCAGGTGCTTGGATGGTGTCCCTGGACTTCAAGGATGCATATTGGCACGTCCCAGTACATCCGAGGTTCAGGGACTGGCTCGGTTTTTTATGTGGGGTGTCAAGGTTACGGCTTTCATTGCCTTCCATTCGGCTTGAATCTGGCGCCTCGCATTTTCACATGCCTTACTCAAGTCGTGGTGACCCGCTTGTGTCTGTTGGGTGTATGGGTTCTGTTCTGGCCTACTGCGACAACTGGCTGCTTTGGGCTCCCAGCCGGTCCGTGTGTCTGCTCGCCAGGGATTTGGTTCTTTTCCAGCTCGCCGGGTTCGGGTTCTAGGTGAACTGGCAGAAGTCCCATCTGGTTCCGTCTCAAGTTCGATCTTGGCTGGGTCTTGTGTGGGACGCTCAGACCGCTTCCTTGTCTCTGCCTCTGGCAGCTCTGCTTCGCCTGCGTTCCTGCCTTCATCTGTTCTTGAGAGGCTCCCGGGTCACGCAGCAGTTGCTCAAGGGTTTGGAGCTTGTACTTTGCCATGATGATCTACCCACCGGGTCGGGTGTGGCTTCATCGACTGTTCTGATTCCTTCAGAGAAGTCCCTTCCGTCTCTCTCGCAACCGCCAGGTTCAGCCTCCGGGGCCTTTGTGTCGGTTGCTGCATCGCCGGCTTCCTCTTCGGGTTTTTTGGGGTTCAGTGCCTTGGCGCCTACTCGAGCCCTCGCTCGATGTGTTCACAAACGTGTTGTCTCTGGGCTGGGGATTTGTGACCAATTCTGACCAGGCTGGCCAGGGTCAGTGGGTTCCGTCCTTCTGTTGGGCTCACAGCACTGTGCGGGAGTTCGCGGCAATGTGGATGTCGCTCCGGAGGATTTGGGTTGCTCGCAGATCAATGATCAGGCTCCATTCAGACTGTTCTCCAGTGGTTCATTGCCTGAACTGAGAGGGTTCCCTGTGGTCCTTGGCTCTTTGGAGCTAGTCGTTTCGAGTGACTCGTCTGCTGAGTTCTTGGGGTTTGCTCTCCTGGCGGTTCACGTTCGGGGGTGTCCAATGTCTTGGCGGACGGCCTATCCCGGTTTATTCCCCTGTCCACGGAATGGACAGTCGACGCCAAATTGTTCAGTTGGCTCTGCCAGACTTTTGAGCCCCTGGAAGTGGATCTCTTCGCATTAGCGTGGTCGAGGCGTCTCCTGGTATACATGGTGCCCTTCCCCAACTGCGAGGCCATCGGGGTCGATGTTTTTCAGCAGGACTGGGCGAGGTGAGGTTACCTGTACCTCTTTCTCCCAGTTCAGCTATTACTCTGGGCCCTGGATAGCTTGGAGACTTACCAGGGGAGAGTTGTTCTTCTGGCTCCTTGGTGGTTGGCCCAGTCTTGGTTTCAGGTGATGGTTGCTTGGTGTCAGAATCCGAGGGTCTTCCCGCAGTTTTGCTTCTTTCAGCAGATCGGTCCAGCCCAATACGAGGCTGGCTCGTTCTTCTCCTCGAGTCTTCGTGTCTGGAGTATGACTCGAGTTTATCATCGCTTGTGTGGGGCGCAGGTGGCTTCTTCGTTGGTCTCCCATCACCTGCGTGCTTCGTCTCAGCAGCAATATGTGGTTTCCTGGCAATCCTTCCAATTTTTCCTATCACTGCATAGGTGTTCCTAGGTCTCTGATAGAGTTTTTTTGTCCTTCCTTTCGTGGTTGTTCCAGGATCGTCATCTGATGCCGAATACTGTCGCCTCATATCGTGCAGCACCGGTAGAGCCGCTCCAGCTTGCATTTGGAGTTGATGTTACTTCTGCCCTGTTTTGCAAGCGGTCTCGTGCGTTGTTTCACCTCCGGCCTGCTCCTGCACCTTCTGGGCCGTCCTGGTCTTTGGACCGGGTGCTCTCTTTTCTCTCTTCTCCTCGGTTTGTGGTGGCCCCTTCTGTTCAAGATTGTTTTTCTAAGGCTTTTTTCCTGTTGGCATTGGACTCTGGGGGTCAGGTCGGGGAGCATCATGCTCTCCTCTGACACAGAGGTTTCTGCTCCTTCAGTTCTGGTGGTAGGTTTGTTCTGTTGCAGCCATCTCCTTCGTTTCTGGCGAAGAATGAGACTACTGCTTTCCAGAGGGGTCCTTGGGTTGTTGCTGGTCAGGTTGGGGGTGCATCATGTGTTGTGTCCGGTTGCGGCACTCTGCCGTTATTTGTGCACCACGGCTTTGGTGGCTGGGGATGCGCTTTGGGTTGACCCAGTTTCCCTCCTTCCCTGTTCCTGGGCTCGGGTCTCTTAAGTCATCTGCAGGGTTATTAAGTCTAGCCAGCCTGCAGTCTATCCCCGTGCCCATGACATTCGTAAGTTTACTGCCTTGCCTGCCATCTTTGGCAACATGTCTTGGGTTGACGTTCGAGCATGGGGGGTTTTGGCGGTTGAACAGGGTTCTGGCTGCACACTACCTCATGAATGTTCCTGGGCCTTGTCGGGCCTGCGTTGACTTAGGTCGGCGGTTGCAGCCAGTTGTCTCGCAGACATAGAATGCTCCCAACCACATGGGGGTTTGCATAGGCCATTGCTCCTTGCGCCTCTCTGAGGGGTGCCAGGTTCTGGCTCGTGGTCCCTGGTAGACAAGAACTCCATGCACATTGATTGATGCCAAAAAGTTATACATATCCATTTAGCCTGGATAGCACTGGGGAGCCTCCGGGACTCACCCAGAAAATGGAGTTTCATTACATTCAACACTGGTTTTTTATTTATATATTTACTAATAGGAATAATTTATATTTTAAATACCAGTTGTCTAAGGGACTGCCTTTGATTACTGCAACATTTATAATATATACTACAATTTAATCAAATAAGTACTTACAGAACCTTTGAATTTCATTTAAGGACCGTAATTTTTTACCCACTGGAGGGTGATAGTAAACATCATACTCAGCCTTGGATGTCGTTGAGCGTGTTACAAGTTCTCGGATCCATCCTGAGAGAAAAACAGTTAACATAATAGCAACTGGTAAGCCTTAAAGGGAACAATTCACTCAATCCTGGGTCTCCCCTTTGAACAATTATTAAAATATTTGAAAACAAAATAATTTTATAAGTTTCTTCTGTTATTAAATATTTTTTCAATTATAGTCTAACCTCGTTACTGAAACTTAAGGGAATGAGAAATGTGGTTCTCAAACTTCCTTATACACCTTCATTTTTTTTTTTTTTGCATAATCTGCGTGGCAAATGCTCCAACTTTTCCTAAATGATCACCAATGTAACATGAGAAAAAATTATCAATTGAAAATTTCAAACTTTCAAATGAAGTTTAACCCTGGGCTGCTCTTGCAATTATAGCCAGTAATACACCAAAGTGCAAGAAATATAAAAAATAAAAATTAAAATATTGTCTTATAAAACTTTTCATTTGAGTTCCCTGATCACAGGAAAAATAATAAAAAAATTGTAGGTAGCATATCTTGGCCGTAATAGGGCGGGGAAGTCTGGCAAAAAAAAGAGGCGTTGACAGAGCAAGTGTCGGAGGTTTGCTACGCCTGAGCTGTCAGGCAGGAGTTGCCGCAAAGGTATTATCACCTAATTATTTCAATGTCTCTGACTGATTTTTTCTCTGTTTTGCAGTAATATTATTCAATAGTGTGTAGTGTGATAGATTTATAAATTAAAATGTGTGAACCAACTGTACAACTAAGCTAGTATGGTGAGTCATGACAATAATTGAGGTCGCCACACAGTCAGCTGATGCTCCCTCCCTCACTCGCCAACATTCCTACTCCCACTATACTATTTGTGCATTTTTACACTACATACACACCTTATATATAAATATCTACATGTTTTATTAACCATAACTGTACAACTAAGTTGGTATGTTGTCCAAACAACATAGTGGCCACAACGAAATTGCATGACAAGAAACACAGCAGCCAGAAAACAACGCCACCTCCATCACCAAAATGGCTCCTCCCAACATACTCCTTTTGCTGCTATTTCACTATATACACACACATTATATATAATAATCTACATATGTGTTCACCATAGCGAACCACTAAGCTGGTATGGTAAGTGCAGACAATAACAGGTGGCCATACCTGTTATTGAGTTAGCAGACACTGCCTCTCTCAGCATCACTCCTCCCAACCTGCTACGCACAGCACTAATTATCACAACAATCCCGCTATTATCAGAATCGTGGTCTTTTCTGGGGGGAAGCCCCTACGGCTTCCCGGAGCCTATCCAGGCTGATATGGACACAGTATACTAGACTTTGGCATCAGCCAAATGCCTGTGAAAGGAGTTCTAGGCTTACTGGGGATCACGAACCAGAACCTGGCCCCCCTTATAGAGGGGGCTAGATATCTTTACCAGAATAGGGGTTTGTTTTGGGGCTCTTATCTTTCTGGGTACTTGACCCGATCAATAGCAGACATGGAATGCTTCCAACCACACGGGGGTTTCCATAGGTCATTGCTCCTCATGCCTCTTTGAGGGGAGGGGCCAGGTTCTGGCTTGTGGTCCCCAGTAGGCCTAAAAAATATTGACTGATGCCAAATCTAATATCTCCATATCAGCCTGGATAACCCCGGGGAACCTCTGGGTTTCACCCAGAAAATGGCGTTTCATTACATTCAAAGCTGGTTTTTTTTTATTACAGTCAGGGGTCTTCTGTAATACTATTATCACTAAATAATACCAGTTACATATATATATTGACATTTTTAGACGATGCTGTGGTCACAAGCTGAGCGGCAGTCCTCTTAGCTCATGCTGTGTGCACCAGCTTTGGTGGCTCACTCAGTACTGAGGCTCTCATACCCAAGAATGCTGCCCATGATTTAAAAAAAATGGCATCTGTTTACAACAGCCCTGAGGAAGCTGATGTGAACCCCGTGTAGCTGTGGGACTTTTAAATCTTGCGCGATACTCTAACACATCAGTAGCTGTGGTGTGCAATTCCACAAAAGTTACTCACCAAAGCTATTTATGTATTGTACAGTTTAACCCTTACACTGCTCAGCATAACGGGACATAATTTGAAAATATACAAATTTTGTAAAAATTACTTAAAAATGTTAAACAAATCTCCAACTTATTGCCTTCAGCATTGTAGAACTTTCATCAAAATATTTTCAGAAATTGATTTTAGACGAATATTTAAAAAAAAAAAAAAAAAAAAAAAAAACAGCATTGAATGTAATGAAACGCCATTTTCTGGGTGAACCCCGGAGGCTCCCTGGAGCTTATCGGGCTAATGTATGTTATATAAGCTAAGCATTAGGACATTAGCTAAGAAGTTCAGACCTACCAAGGACCTGCGCCAGAACCTGGCCCCTTCAGAGAGGTTTCAGGGAGCAATGGCCCTGAAAAACCCCTTTGTGGTTTGGGTTTTCCTTATCTGCCATCGACCGGGGTTAGGCACCCAGAAAGGTAGGCATAACAAAACAAACCCCACATGGTAAAAAACTAAAACAAAAAACCGAACAGAGAGGTAGAAACTCCTTACAATCACAAGGAAACAAGCAAACAAGCAAACATCACACTTTACTGCCACGCCGATCGTCCGCGCAGCCCTCCCCGCCCCGAGAGGGGGAGGGGGGAGCCCCGGACCTACCGCGCCGGCTGCCAAGCTTCAGTTCGGAAGCTAAGCTTCAACCAACGCAAAAAAAACGCCGACCAGTGGGAGGGAGGGTTGCCAGGGAGCCTCCGGGGCTCACCTAGAAAATGGCGTTTCATTACATTCAACGCTGGTTTTCTGTGGGGAGCCCCTACAGCTCCCTGGAGCTTCATACCCAAAGAGAAGGAAAAGAAAGGGCTAACCCGGGAGGCGGCCGCCACAAACTCCGTAAAGCGAAGCGGAAACAACAGGTTGCAACCTGTAACCCAAGGCAACAAGAACGCACAGGAGCAGACATGCATAAAGAATGGGTGGCCAAAAACCTGTGCGACCCTCAAATCCCTGCCCCCGAAATGAGCCCTAGACGTCACCAAAACAGCAGCAAAAGCTGCAAATGTCTGAATAGCACGGGCGCAAAGACAGACCGCAGGCTGGAAAACTGAAAAACTCTGTGGACGACCTGGGAGACCCGAGCCCTGAAAACAGGGAACGAGGGGAACCGGATCAACCACAGCGCATCCCCAGACACGGTACGCAGGTAACGGCAAAAAGCATAACCGGACAACACAGGACGCACCCCCAGCCAAACCAACAAGCATCAATAACCCAAGATCCCCTCCGGAAAGCAGCCATCTCGACCGTCGCCAGGATGGAGAAAGGCTGCACACATACAAAGCTACCACCAGAACCAAAGAGCAGAAACCTGGACCGAAGGGGCTACCACAAACTGAAGAGAAGATAAGAAGGCACCCTAATCAAGGACCAGGATGGCTCAGGCGACGCATGAACAGGCCGGAGGTGAAACAAAACATGAGAAAGCGTACGAAACGGGGCAGATGTGAAGTCCACCCCGAACACAAGCCGGAGCGGCTCCGCCAGCGCCGCACAAAACGAGGAAACAGTAAAAACATCAAATAACTGTAGTCCTGAAAACCAAAGAAAGGACAAGACAACCCGATATGAAAGATATGACACCCTAGGAAGAGCAAGAAAAAGTGCATAGAAACACAAGGAACGTCATACTGTCGCCAAGACGAAGCTCGCAGTGGGATACCGTCAACAAAGCCACCTGAATACCACTGAGATGGTGAAACCCGCGTCAAAATACCAGATGCAAAGAGCCGAGAAGGCCGAACCAGTCACGTACAGGACCGATCCGACCTGCCGAAAGAGGCGGAGCCGCAGGAAAACACCCCGGGTTCGGACATCTATCAAGCAGCGTCTGAAAATATAGCTGGGCTGGCCACCAAGAAACCATAAGGACTGCTCTCGTGGGATGGGCTGCAACCGAGCCAGAACCCGAAGCAACAGCTGGACCGGGAGAAGAGGAACAGGTAACCCCCCTTGACCAGTCCTGCCGAAAAGCATCCACCGTGAACGCCTCACAGGTGGGTAAGGGCACCACATAAAATGGGCGACGCCTAGACAACGCCGACTCGAAGATGTCCATGGCCAGGAGTCCACATGTCCGGCAGAGCCAACAAAACGAGTCGGTGATAACTGGCCAATCCGCAAACAGAGGAATGAACCGAGACAGCTGTCCGCAAGGACGCAGGACACACCCTGAACATGAACCTCACGGTTAGCCAAACCCTGAGAATCCAGCAAACGAGCCACTCTAAGGAACCAACCCCAAAGGTCAACACCTAGGAGAAACCCTTTGGTTCCAGCAAGAATCGCTAGAGAACAGTCCGAACGAAGCCGAATGGTAGAGCACCAAGTGACCCAAACCCTCCGAAGTGCAAACCAGACAGCCACGAACTCCCGAACCGTGCTGTGAGCCCGACGGACGGACAGACTCCATCCCTGGCCAACCTGGTGAGCACTGGTCACAAAGCCCCAGCCGAGAGAGGACCCGTCCGTGAACACATCGAGCGAAGGCTCGGGGAGATGCCAAGGCACGGAACCCCGAAAACCCCATGAGGAAGCTGGTGACGCAGCACCAACACAAGATCCCCGGAGGAACGAACCCAACGATTGCAAGAGACAGAAGGGGAGTCTCCGAAGGAACCAAACAGATGCTGAAGCCAAACCCGACCCCGCGGGCAGACCAGCACGTCGAAGTTCAGACTCCCGCACAACCGCTCAAGCAACCACTGAGCAACCCGGGACCCCCTCAGGAACAGCCGAAGGCGGGACCACAGCCGCAGGTAACACTTCTGGAGGGAAAGACAAGGAGTGGCCCAATAGCCCTAAACAAGGCCCAGGTCCGAACCCTGGAAGGAAACAGATGGAATGGCCTCCAGATCACCAGGAAACCAAACCCGGCGACCTGGAAAGAACCACACCCCTGGTGTGCAGACAAGCAGACCGACTGGGAGCCCACACCAGCCAGTCGTCGAGGTAGGCCAGACACC